AGAAAATTAAAAAAAAAAAAAAAGGATATATATATATATATATATATATGACAAAAGAAGCATAAACCAATAAATTGTAATTTATTAAAGCTTAAATCTATGAAGACCCTGTTTGGTGAAATTTAAATACAAAATTGGATTCAAGTCAAATTCAATAATTAATTTTAATAACATATTTCATGGGATTCACTTCTTTTCAATAACATATTTCATCAATTTTTATCAAAATTTGATTTTAATCCCATCAGGGGAACTAGTATATTAAAAGTTTTTATCTTTTTGTAATAATAAATAAATATATTATAAACTAGTGGATGAGAATTTAAGGATAAAACTTTTTGATCCCACCAAACAGGGAGAAAGTATATTAAAATCAGATTTTTAGTAAAGGGTAATTGACACAAAACGTCCCTACCTTTGAAGGGTATTGTAGATATTGTCTCTACATCTCATTTCTTAGCATTTATGTCCTTATCTTTCACTTTTCGTGCTCTGAAAGTCCTTTTCACTATATTTTGACGATTTTACCCTCAATTCAATTGAAACAAAAAGAAAAGAAAACAATTGAACAAATGTAACTATTGGCCCAAACGAATGCAAACAATTAAAAGCTTCCTCGTCATGCAAACGAATGCGAACAATTTCAAAGAAAAATTGAAAGGAAAAACTCATCAGGATTTTTATAATTAGCGATTAGAAAGGAGAAATTTTGGGCAATGGCAAATAGTGGGCATTTGAAGGGGATCCAGGTATGGTAGCCAAGGCCATGGAGTTGAAGAGGGAATTGCAGAAGTTAGTAAAGGCAATTGTGGATGATGATGATGTTAATTTATGGACGATTGATAGAGTCCAGCAAATATTATGTGCTTTGAAAGAATTTAAGGTAAAAAAATCATTATCCTCTTCAAAGATTCATCATCAACATGATACAGTTTCATAGAAGATTCCCGAGAAGCTTAAGTGCCCACTTTCCAAGGAACTCGTGAGGAATCCGATTTTGTTGTTTTTTGAGGCTGAAATTTATGTAGGAATGTTGGGGGTTGATGAGGAGATAGTGTTGGTGCAAAAATCCGGTGGCCACTGTGGCTTGAAAAGGGCCGGTAGTCGGCAATAGGGTGGGGGGCGAGTTTTGGGAAGAAGGTGAAGATTGGTGGGTTATTTGCATTTTTTTAAAAGTTTGGGCTAATAGTTGCAATTTGTTCAATTGGTTTTCTTTTCTTTTCTTTTTGTTTCAATTGAATGGAGTGTAAAATCGTCAAAATATGGTGAAAATGATTTTCGGCGCACGAAAAGTGAAAGGTAAGAACATAAATGCAAAGAAATGAAAAGTAGAGACAGAACAGGTAGGGACGTTTTGTGCCAATGACCCTTTAGTAAATTTTAATAGAAATTGAAAAAAATGTATGATCCAAAATTTGAAGGACGCGTAAAATATATTATTAAAATTAATTATTGATATTGACTTGAGCTAAAATTTAGATTTTAATAGATAACAAACAAGTTTTATCTTTTCGTAATAATAAATAAATATATTATCAACTAGTGGATGAGAGTTTAAGGATAAGACCTAACCCCTTTATCATGGGCAGAATATTCAATTCAATCCTATGTCAACTTTTCATTCATTTGTCTAATAAAAACAGACACACACACACAAAAGAATGATCCAATAACTGCATAGATCTCATCTTCCTCATCACTGTTGATCATTTTCTTGAATGCCCTTTTGATCCTTTTTTTTTTTTGATTTGGGCATAACTATATTTTGCAGGGTTTCAATATATCTATATCTATATTTTTAAAAAGTGCAAATAACCCATCACACTTCACATTCTTCCCAAAACTCGCCCCCACCCTATCGCCGCTAGCCGGAAATTTTCAAGCCACCGTGACCACCGAATTTTTGCACCAACACCATCTCCTCATCATCCCCTAACATTCCTACACAACTTTCAGCACCAAAAAACAGCAAAATCGAACAAAAATTCGGCCAAAAAACACCTACACAAAATACAACACAAGTCTTCCACTTCTCATCGCGTAGCTACCAGCTGTCTGGCCATGGATTTCTCATTGGATCCCCTAAAAACACACCACACTCACTATGCACAATCCCCATCTTAACTCCCTCATAATCTCATTTCACACCTAGTAAATTTCCATACGGGCACTCAATTTAACACTCTACGGTGTGTAGTGTGTGAAAATTAATTCACTAGAGCTCTAAAAGCTTCCTCGTCATGCAAACGAACACGAACAATTTCAAAGAAAAATTGAAAGGAAAAACTCATCCGAATTTTTATAATTAGGGATCAGAAGGGAGAAAATTTGGGCAATGACAAAGAGTGGAGTATTTGAAGGGGATCCAGGTATGGTAGCTAAGGCCATGGAGTTGAAGAGGGAATTGTAGAAGTTAGTGAAGGCAATTGTGGATGATGATGATGTTAATTTATGGATGATTGATAGAGCCCAACAAATGTTATGAGCTTTGAAAGAATTGAAGGTAAAAAAATCATTATACTCTTCAAAGATTCATCCCCATCATCATGATACAGTTTCATAGGAGATTCCCGAGAAGCTTAAGTGCCCACTTTCCAAGGAACTCATGAGGGATCCGATTATTGTTGTTTTTTTAGGCTTAAATTTGTGTAGGAATGTTAGGGGTTGATGAGAAGATGATGTTGGTGCAAAAATCCAGTGGCCACGGTGGCCTAAAAATGGCTGACAGGCGGCAATAAGGTGGGGGTGAGTTTTGGGAAGAATGTGAAATTTGGTGGACTATTTGCACTTTTTAAAAAATTTGGGCCAATAGTTGCAATTTGTTCAATTTGTTTTCTTTTCTTTTTGTTTCAATTGAATGGATGGTAAAATCGTCAAAATATGGTGAAAATGATCTTCGGCGCACGAAAAGTGAAAGGTAAGGGCATAAATGCAAATAAATGAAAGGTAGAGACGGTATCCACAATACCCTCCAAAGGTAGGTACGTTTTGTGCCAATTACCCTTTAGTAAATTTTAATAGAAATTGAAAAAAATGTATGATCCAAAAGTTGAAAGATGTATAAAATATATTATTAAAATTAATTATTGATTTTAACTTGTACTAAAATTTAGATTTTAATAGGTAACAGGCAAGTTTTATCTTTTCGTAATAATAAATAAATATATTATCAACTAGTGGATGAGAGTTTAGGATAAGACCTAACCCCTTTATCATGGGCAGAATATTCAATTCAATCCTATGTCAACTTTTCATTCATTTGTCTAATAAACACACACACACACACAAAAGAATGATCCAATAACTGCATAGATCTCATCTTCCTCATCACTGTTGATCATTTTCTTGAATGCCCTTTTGATCCCATTTTTTGTTTTTTTTTTTATTTGGGCATAACTATATTTTGCAGGGTTTCAATATATCTATATCTATATGTAGAACATTTTTTTTTTTTTTTTTTTTGAAAATGCCTACAAGGGTCGGGAACAAGAGTGGAGTTAAAGGTGAAGGGTGCATGCATGGGATGTCTTGTGTCGACTCGCCGGCGGATTACGGCGGAGATCGGTCGTTTCCGGTGGTGAAAAAGGTGGGTTTTAAGGATGTTGAGAAGAGAGAGAAAGAAGAAAAGAGATTTGATTCTCAAAATTCTGCTTCTGAATCATCGTCTATAGGAAAAAACAGTGATATTTCTGAGAAATCATTGGATAATCTTGATGAAGAGGTTCAGAGTTCATATAAAGGACCCTTGGACGCCATGGATGCCTTGGAGGAGGTTTTACCAATAAGGTTATTATTTTATTTTTCATTTTTCATTTATTTTTTATTTCATGTTAACCTTATTCTCCTCGAAATTATTTTTATTTTTCTTAGGTTCCTTCTTATTTCTTTGATCTTTGACTTTGGGAGACATTGTCCAATCAGATTTTGGGTTCTTTAATGTTTTTATTTTTCCTTATAATAAAAGAAACAAAATAATCTATCATTGTTGGTACTTGTACAAGTTTGCTTTGGCTACATTGGATTCTTTTTGGATGGGTACACGCCCGGTTACCCGCCCCTCACATCCTGATTACATTGAGTTGAAAAAAAATTGAAATTTTGATATTCGTGCTTCGATTTATTGAGAATAAGAATTTGTCGTTATAATATGAAGAATAATACTGAAAAATTGTACTTTACGTTTTTGTATTTTTTGTATTTTTTGTGTTTTGTTTATTACGCTTACCAAACTGCATTGAATGCTGACATGCTACTATGTTTTCAGGAGGGGCATTTCAAGATTCTACAATGGAAAATCGAAGTCCTTCGCTAGTTTGGCAGATGCTTCGTCGTCGTCTATAAAAAATCTCTCGAAACCCGAGAATGCATACACGAGGAAACGAAGAAACCTTCTCGTCTGTAGTATTGCTAGCTGGGATGTCAAGAATAGAAGCTCCCTTTTGAGGAGTAACGGAGGTGGGATTTCTAAGAGAATGACAAACTCAAGTCGAACCACATTGGCCTTGGCCGTTGCCATGAGCAACTCCGGAAGTGACAAGCATCCCACCGAATGCAATTCTTCCGGATCATCCTTGTCTTCTCCCCGGAAGGATTTCCCGGTGTGGCGGTCCTTCTCATTGGCTGATTTGCAGGAGAGTGTGACTACTACAACCACGTGTACATCTTCAAATCAACTAGCTATGAATCCCTAATGCTAACTAAACACATTGACATACAGCCTAATTTCGATCCGAAGATGATCAACTGATGTAACTCTCAACACTGTCTTGGTACTAGGATGTCCCAAAATTGATTTTTTCTTGTCTCTGTAAGCTAATGCCAATTCTCCATGGATATAGAGAAAATCTACTAATAAATTTTTCTTTGTTGATGCTTTGTTTTGATCATCCAACTACATTATGTTTTAACTTGTCCCTAGAAAAATGTTTTTGTTAAATGGATGCATGCAACCTCGTCAACGAAATATCTTAGGTAAATCACGGAATTATTGAAATATTTCAGGTAAATCACGAGATTATTGACGTAAGTTTTTAAGTGGAATGTTGGCAACAAAAATATCATAGGTAGATCACAAGATGATTGATCTCATCTGACAAGTTTTGGACAACGATCATGCTACATTTTGTTTTACATTATGTCATGTGTCTAATTGGACAGTTTATTTATTTATTAAAAGAAAAACACTTTCCAATCCAACTCTTTTTAAATTTCCATACAATGTAAGTCAATATGTAACCCACGAAATGCATTAACATAATTTTTTGGACAATTCCCCCTTGTTCGGGGAAATTTTTTATTGGTAGCATCGGTATGGGGTTTTTTTTTTTTTCAATTTTCAATGAAATGTCGCTATATGTCCCCTGCAAAAGAATCTAGCGATGTCTAGCATAACACTTAAAACAAAATGGTTGCACGATCGTTTTTGTATATTATTTGTACCCTAATGATGTATTTGGAATGATTCAAGAGTTCCAAAATATAATATTTATGAAGTGAAGTGAGACCTCTAATAAAATTTCTTTGGAAGCAAAAATCACAGAATTTTTTTAAAATTCAATCGGATTTGGGGGAAATTGGGTTCTCTACAGTTGATTTCTCCGTTTAATTGAAGGCAGGAAGTTGCAATTTATATACTTAAATCGGAAGACGGAAGTGCACATTTTTTCCTTGGGGGAGTGTTTATTGATGACGTGGCACATGCTTTGACAGGTCGGCGGAATTGGGATGAAATTAGAGCCAACTGTAAATACAATAGAGGGAACAATCACGTCATATGTATATCATTCTTTATATCAACTTTTACATTTTGTCACAGGATAATATACCACCGAGAATAATAAATTGCGATCGATGAAAAACATTTTTTTTTTTTATTAAATTGAGTGAGGTTTCACAAACATTTTAAAGTTCGGTGGAATTATGAGACAAGTCCAAAGTTCAATTATATTTGAGGCAATTAAGCCGCCATGGTATACTTGTCATTAGCTTAACACCATTGATTAGTTGTTTTGGGGTGGAAAAGAAAAATATGATTGGACGTGATTATATCGAGGAGACAAAAAAGGGTACATGTTCGCATATTTTAAACCATATAATCAATGTTCCAACGCGCTAGCGACGGGTTATATGCCTCGAAAGGAGATTTAGGAAAATATGGGTTGAGATGGACTCAACAATGGCTATACGCTTCATCCATAGTGAGTGAGGGGTTAGGACTTTGGCATATTCAATACATGGTTAAAGGAATAAAGATTTTATCTACAGGTTCTATTAAAGTGTGACCGACTACATGGCTAATTAATGTTTTCTTGAAGAATCTATTTGAATCATTCAACGGAATAAAGATCTTGGGAGATTAAGGGTCGTTCGACGTGGTTATTGCGAGTAGAACTTTTGTCAATGGAGCTTTTGTTATTGGACTGTAAATCATAATTATCCCGTGACAATGAAAATGATTCATGGAGAATTAAGATATCTGCAGTGATGAGAATGCGATCATTGGAGGAATATAGAAAGCCCAGCTTCGGGGTCTAAGAGGGAAATAAGAGACGCGAAATTGCACCACCCATGAGACTTCTTCTTCGAAGAAAACCGGTGCCAGCTATCCCGGTGCACTGACTTTGAGGAATCCGAGGAATTTTCAATGGCAAGACGGTAGCTGGCAAAACATCCATAATTTGCAAATAGATGGAAAGGTAGCCCGGGAGGGCCTGCGAGTCACCCTTGGGATAGATTAGCAATCGGCAATCGAAGTCACCCACCTCGAAATACTTACTCCATCTCAACACTGTTGCCATCCCTGTTATCGTCCCTCTTGTTCACACAAATGCGTTGAATACTCCTCTGGGTTAAATTCTATATTTACTATTAAAAGGTGGGGGTTGGATTTAGTTTTCTGTTTCGGCAGCCTCCAATGATGATAATGACGTGTTTGTTAAGATGGATTAGATAACATTGGACACTAATAGATAAGAAAGTTTAAATTTCTATATGCATTGTGTTGGGAAAAATTACAGCATAATGGAGACACCAATATGAGGATAACTGAATTCAACATTCCTCTTTAATCAATGACAGAGTCCAATATCTCAGCATACATTAACATATACAGAAATATTACTACACCAGTGTTCTAACATAATCATAACATGGAGAAATCAATAGAAATCATAAACCATAGAACTGAGAAACTGAACATAAACGAGATGCTAAAAAACCAGAGGAACTGAGACATTAAAAAGGCAAGAGTAATCCATCCCTTCTACCGGTCGAAGCTCACAGTTGATGCCCAGTTCTTCATGCTGTTTTCGGCTGAAAATAGGCTCAAGAACAGCCCAACCATGCCACGCAAATCACCATCCAGAGAGAAGTGTTATCAGAGAACCTTGGGTTCGATTTATGGTCATCGATCGAAAAACGATCTCCCAAGATTTACAGTGTTCTAGTCTCAGATTCATGAAAGAAATCAGCACCGAATCAGCCACTATTTCAGGCCTGATTGTACCCAATATAAACCTACTAAATCACTAGAACACAACCCCCCAGAAAAACTACCCAAGATGGAAGGAGAAGAAACCCTAGCAAAATCGCCAGAACGGAGAGTCCAGAACGAGAGAGAGAGAGAGAGTGAAAACCGTTTTTTAGAACAAGAGTCAAAGCCAAGGAAATATCTAGACCAACTTAAAAAGGCAAATCGGTAATCGAAGCTACCCACCTCGAAATACTTACTCCATCTCAACACTGTTGCCATCCCTGTTATCATCCCTATATTTACTATTAAAAGGTGGGGGTTGGATTTAGTATTCTGTTTCGACAGCCTCCAATGATGATAACGACGTGTTTGTTAAGATGGATTAGATAACATTGGACACTAATAGATAAGAAAGTTTAAATTTCTATATGCATTGTCATGTACATTCTAATACTCCATACAAAACAAGAACTAAGTGTTTTTTTTTTTGGGATGTGTCTCTCCAGCACAATTTGCTTACCTTGCTTTGTGAATTCTTTAGGTGCAGCGTTTAACTGAGAATGCAGATTACTCGTCTTCAACTATTAATGGAGATACTAATCTGGATGATAGCACGAGATCAGTGGATGAGGAGCTGAGGAGGATGCTGACGACCTTCTTAGTCGATAATGGTGTATTGAGAAAACAGGTGAATTCCACTATTCTTTATGCTCTTCAATTGAAAAAATCACTTGAGAGAAAGGTGATTGCGATCCTCCTTCAGATGTAAACATACAAAATGAGGTTTCATAATGATAATATTGTAGTGAATTTTGTAAATCTAGCAGGTCTATAGTTACTATACCCCTTAATCACCATAAATGGATGTGAAGAATGAATCTTTGTTGTAGCGAGTAGTAATCTGGTGCGACATTTTTCTCTATTACTTCACAGTCCCTCATATACAATTCTTCAAACTGTTTTTCTGTTTTTTGTTCTGTACAAGTGAAGCCAACCCGAGTACTCAGTTATTTTTTCATCTTTGATTGAAACCGTGTGTTGTATCTGGTACGTCTTGCATAGATATAGTGAAAACTTCTTCTGCAAGGGTGACATATTTGAATGGAATTAGAAGAGGCAGAACATTGTACGCGTGGCTGTCAATTATTGAATTGCATTTGACCAAATGAAGTAGTGTATCTTAAATATTGAAACCAGTTCGTGCCAATATTTCTTTTGAGACCCAGAGGAGCATAATAAGTGTTGCTACTCATTTCATGTCTTGTACAAGATGTGTTTCTTAGTTTGGAATTAATCTTGGACCAAGTTTTCGTAACAAGAAGCACAAACTCACTCGTGTAAATTGATCACATTTGTTTAGAAAAATAAATTTGAAAATTCTTTTGAGCACGACGCTGTTTGTAAATTAAGCATTTTCCTTGCTTTCTTATATTATTTTCTTCAATCAAACAAGATGACTAAAAAGAATCCGCGACTTCAATAATAAAAGCTAAGTTGCCTGTTGTCAAAAATGCTTGCAAACTTTATGATTATATGCTTTCAATAACGTATAAGACAGGTTATCAAAAGACGATTCTTGGTAAAACAAGGCGAACAGGTAAATAGCTCGGTTTAAAAAAAGATCACTGGATAAGAGAGTGCAGCTTTCCCAACTTGAGAGAAGTTTCTTTGTAACGCCTCGAGTTTCGTGAACCCGGATTGCCCGTCATCGTCTTTTGTAACTGATTTAACTAAAAAATTTTGCGGAAAATAACTNTTGCCCGTCATCGTCTTTTGTAACTGATTTAACTAAAAAATTTTGCGAAAAATAACCAAATTTTGAAACATTGCATTTATAATGGTAAAACTACGTCGGCAACAAAATTCATTTGATTACTTGCGGAAAATCGTTTAAACTTCAGAATTCAAGTTTGAAATAACGGATACAACAAAATAAGTTCATAATGCGTAAATTTAAAAAATAAATAACTTCGACTATTAAATTATTCCACCACTGCCCATCACACTTGACCGTCTCCGAAATCTGAAAATATTGTTAAAATAACGGAATGAGTATTTCGATGAAATACTCAGTAGACTCATCGTCGATAATTAATTTACAGAATAATTGAACACGTAATCATGCAATTCATATCATGACATCATCATCATAGGCTCATTTTCTTGAAAATCATAGGCTCTTAAAAACATAGGGTGTGGGTAGTCTCGTCTCGTGCATTTAAGCACATAAGTTATGCATAACATTCTTATCTTATCTCATAAGAGATACTCATCTCTTCTCATGTAATAAAGCATATAAGTTATGGTAAGTATAACAATATCATATATCTCATATGACACATTCTCATCTCATGCATCAAAACATATAAATCACGTAAATTCACATAATATATGCAAATATAATTTAAACTAATTAATGGTAGCTAGTCTACCTCAAATATCTTGAGTTGCGTGAAAAGTGGAGTGGGAGAAAACCTCAATCTTCTAATTGTTCGTACGTTTCGTCTAGTCAAAATATAAATTAGGTTTTGAGTTAGTATTTCGAAATTTAAAATTTTAAAACGATAAAATAAAGTTTAGGGACCTAATTAGATATTTATTAAAACTGAATTTAACAAATCTAAGGGCTAAATATAATATTTTTAAAGCAATGGGGCTGAAAGTGAGAAATAAGAACTCTAGAGACTTAATTGAAAACTATTGAAACTGAAAATAAAAGTTTAAGGGCTGAAATAGTAACTTTTAGAAGTTAGGGACTAAACTGTAAATCTATTAAAGCTGAAAATAAAAACTAAAAGGTTGAAATTAAACCTTTTATAAATTAGGGATTTAATTGAACATTTACTAAAACTGAAAATAAAATTTAGGGACTGAAATTAATACACTTAAAATTTAGGGTTGCTTTCTTTAAAATGAAACTCTAGGGACTGAAATAAATACTTTTAAAACTTGGGGGCTAGGGGTTAATTTCTAAAAATCCATTTAAATAAAAATTTCTCTCCTACTCTCTCTCTCTCTTACATTACGAGCAAGAGAGGAGAGGAAGAGCGATGGGAAGGGGCTAAACCCCTTCCTCTGATTTCGGCCACTGGCAGCACCGTCAGAGTCGGCGCCACCGTCACGTGGTGGCGCCTGTGCATTGGTGAAGGCGGCAAGGGTTATTGGTGATTGGTTCGAAGGTAACCGAGGCTGGAAGGGTTCGGGCTCTTAGGTTTCCGGCGGTATTCCGGCTGAACAACGATCGGAAAGAGTGGGTAAGTTCATGTGTTGTTGATTTAGAGTTTTTATTCCATGATTTGGGGTTGATTTTGTGGCGGTTTGAGGTGGTGAGCTTGGAATCGGTTTGGTGATGTTGGTTAATGGGCTGCATTGTGTTGCAACTTGTGAGTTCACTGTTGATGCTAGAAATGGATGTTCTAGCATCAATGGTGAAATGCAGTGAATGGAACAAGGAACAGTGACTTACCAAAAGGAAAATGGATGACGTGTGTATGAGGAGAGAGGGAGTGCTTG